AGTAGGTTGGAGGCCATCGCTGGTAGGTTGGAGGCCATAGCTAGTAGAATCTCTTTGAATCCTTTCAATTGTTGAGATACCTCCAATCACTTCTTCCAAGCCTTTCTACTGAAAGGTATGAACATGTCTAGTCTGTCTGCTGTCAAAGGCTTATGATGTCAGGACATGGGATCCAACAAGTTGTCACTTCGCACCTTTTCAAGTGGCTTCATTGCAGCGTGTGGTCAACTTTAGTAACTTTATATATAGAGTAATATAGAGTGTCTTGTGAGTCTAACACTCCAGTTTCAAGCAACAGCAGAGACATTGACGCCAAGGGCTGTCTCCACTCTCCAGGGAATGATAGGGTCGGGCAGGCACTACTGTGACAGTTTCTAAGATACCTGATTCGCAGCAAACTACAACACTTTTCAAAGCACCAACCAATGATACCTCCTAGCTAAAGAAAGAACTGAAAAAAAAAAGCTTCTTTTCCTCGAATCTTTTCATCGTCAAATCCATTCTCAAACATTGATGCAGGTTGCCGAGGTGCCTCGTCCAATTTTCGCTTCAGGTCAGCATGAATTGAACGGAGCTCCTCTCATCAGGCAGGGAGGCTCTTGATGTCAAAGGCCCTGTGGTGGAAGGAAAATCAGAGTATGTTAAATGGAAACTAGTACTTTTGTTCTGGAACGCAAAGTGGAGAATTGATGAGAACCATTCAACATGATTTGTGTAGCGTCTACTTATTCACAAACAGGACACATCGTATCTTGTTTCAGCAATGTGTACGTGGATACTTTAGATATCATTGTAAGCACTCATTTGGTTAAGTCTTGTACACGCAACATCCAACAATTGCATCTTTCTGACTTCCTCCTGAAGAAATGTCTAGGCGGCTTCCTTGTTTCAGTGTTTGGGGTATCACTGGGTGTCCACATCAACAGGTGTTCATGCATTTTGTCCATTAACAAGATTCCAAATCCCTCGTGCGATGCTGTTGAGCCATGGCGGCCATGGCCATTTTCGCACCACCGTCACACGAGTCTCCAAACTTCGCCCTCCTCCATTTCTTCAAAGTGGGCTCCCCTCTTTTCCGCCTCTGCATCCCTCAGGGCCTCACAGGACAAACATGGATAAGGGTTGCCTTGCCCAAGGGTTCAGAGATTGGAAGACACAACAAGGAACCAAACGAGGAATGACAACACGAGGGTTTTTGGCACGAACTCCCGTGCCTGGCTCCACTTAGGTCTTCCAAACGAACTCTTCGCGCATCTGAAACGCTGATAGGGCACCTTTTCCGCCTCGAAGAGGGGTACCTTCTGCTCCATTAACTCAGCCTGCAAAGGTGGATCCGCGAAGACTCAACTCGCCATCAGGCTTCGCAATCCTTCGATCCTTCTTTCACTTGAGGCCAGAGGGGGTGAACGAAAGCTAGCCGGGCTTCCGGTGGTCTGCTGCTGGTGCTGCTGCTGCTGGTGCTGCTGCTGCCGCTGCTGCGCTGGGCGCTGCTGCGCTGGGTGCTCTGCAGGCGCCGGGTCGTCTGCTGCTGCTGCTGCTGCTGGCGCTGGGTGGTCTGCTGCGGCTGCTGCTGCCGCGGCGTTGGGTATGCTGCTGCTGCTGCTGCTGCCGCCGCTGGGTGGTCTGCTGCTGCTGCTGGTGCTGCTGCTGCTGCTGCCGCTGCTGCGCTGGGCGCTGCAGATGCTTGGTGTGCTGCAGCTGCTTGGTGGTCCCGCTCACCGCGCGCAGGGGGGAGTCGAACCGCGGGGGGGGGGGGGGGGG